CTCTCTCTCTCTCTCTCTCTCTCTCTCACACACACACACACACACACACACACACACCACACACACACACTTTATGGTTTAGTTTTGGGAACACATTAGAACCTAGTTAAAGTCAATCCCTCTAGTCTGTCTCCAGGGCCCACTCTTACCCTCAGCTTCTTAGATGGTACATAGAAAGCAGGAGTTGTCCTCAGTGTACCAATAACATGTAGAAAATGCTAGCCACTAAAGTTTGACACCATCTATGCATGTTTACAGTGAAGTTGATCTTTGGAGACAAAAATCAGCAGAAACGAGGAACGGAATTATACTCTTACGGCCAGGTTTATTTTCTAGTTTAGTCTCAGGCCATCCTAAAAAGATTCCGTATTTTAGGTTTAATCTTCATGATGCAGAGGGCCTTTCTATTGCTCCCATTTTATGGGGCGTGGAGAGGTTCGGCCACTCACCCAAGGTTATGAGGCTTCAATATAGTAGAGCCTCAGGTTGAGCCCAACATGTCGGAGACTTGACCTCCATGCTGGCATCTGCTTACCACGCATTGCCTAGAGTCATTTTTGAGAGGGGGAGGCAGTTAGGAGGAAGGTGGCACATCCAGACTTGAAGCCATCACAGCTTAAATCATGCTGCCATTTGAAAGTCTCACCAGGGGCACCCCAGTCTGAAAGACTCTCTAGTCTCTAAAACCACTCCTCTCCTCATCCGGCCTCTCTTTTTAATCATTTAAGCAGAGCAAACTCATGCCTTACCTGAGTCTCCAAGGCTTCAAGGCTCAAGGGCCAATTCAGACACTGCTGAGATCAGCTGGCTGCTTCTCCTATCTCAAGTACTTGAAGATGAGTGAGATAGACCAGGCCCTGGGGCTGGTACCTCTGATTGACACCAGGTGACAGGAAATTGGCAGCTTCTGCTACCTTGAGATCCGCTCCAATCACTTCGCTTTGATAGAAAGGATATACAAAAAAGTTTCTGCCTTACCAGGAGGTTTCACTTCTTGAAAAATACCCTGGGGACAGTCTGGTGTGCTTCATGCTACCTTAATTAGAAGAAGTTCTGCAGCCCCCACCCTGTAAGCAGGTGTGGATGGTGGGTCCCTAAGGGTTAGGGGGGGCGCTAGAAATTCTCCAGAGATGGGCTGCTAGGGACATGACTACCTTCATGCTTCACTTTTAGGGTTGAGCAGGTCGGGGAGGCACCCATGCAGAGACTCAGAAGCCCAGAACAGGTACACTTGGGAGTGTTGTACCTGTTGGTTTGCAAACGGTACTATCATTTGCTCATACACAGTTCTAGCGGGCCATGGAAATCTTGTGTCAAATTCAGCAGAAATGGCCTCAAATATAATTTGTTCTCCAAAGAACATGAACCCAGAAGCATGAGGCAAGACTCAGCTCCCATTTTGGGTGCTATGAATTGAAACAACACTTTTACATAGGAGTCCACCCTTCTTCTCCACCTTCCTGCTGCCCTCTCTCTTCAGTATGCCTGGAGCTGTATGCCCACGTTCAGTGACAGATCAAGTAGGTAAGTGGAGGAAGTTGGTGGCATGGCGAAATTCTAAACATCTGGGAGGTGAATAAAAGAGTTTTCTTAAGGTTATTATTATCCCCTCCTCTATATACACCCTGTATGCTCATATGTTAGGCTTTTTTATTAATTTTTAATCTCATTGTCTATTATTTTATTTCATTAGAGGTACAGAGCTGTAGATATGTATCTTTGCCCATTTAATCTAAAGGGTTGAAACGCAGTAACTATATTAACGAATCTGAGGCTATTCACCTCTCTCTCATCTCTCTTTTTTCCCCTCTCTATTTCATTTAAATTGGTTTAGAGACATATTATTAGGACCAGTGAGTAGAAGTATTTCTGGGGAGGCTGGTTTTGGTGCACCATATTGCTGAAGTGGTTTATTAGTGTAACAAGCTGGCTATTTGGGTAGGGGACACACTGCCATTCAGAAAACTGAGGTGACAGCCTTTCAGCCACCTGTCAGAAATGTTGTAGTGAGGAGGGGAGGGAAAATGGCAGATCCCCCAACCATTAAAGATTCTAGGTGCACATCTGTTGAAAAGTGTCAATGGTTGGATATAATGACATAATGTCTTTGTTTTGTGTTGCTCCACTAAAATATCCAAGACTCTTTAAATTTATAAATAACAGACGTATTACAATTTAGTAGTCTGGAAAGTTCAAGGTCAAGGGTCCCACATCTGACAGGGCTTTTGTGCTCTAATATCCCGTGGAGAAAGGCATAGGGCAAGAGAACACATATTCACGGAGGGGATTAGGGATGGGTACTAGCTAGTTTCCATGGTGACAGTGTTAGCATTTTTAAGGGCAGAGTCCTTATGATCAATCACCACTTAAGGCCCACTTCTCAGCACGGTCACAATGAGAGTTAACTTTTCTAAGATCTTTAGGAATATATTCAAACCAGAGCTCTCCAGGCCTGGGCTGTAGATGACTGTGAGACCTGAAGCTCCTATCCAGGCATGGTGGGTGGGTTAGAGATAAGTACCTTTCAGTGCACTGCATGTGAGAGCAGGACAAGGCCTTGTAAATGTATGACCTTTGAGAGCCCTGACCCAGGGATGTACAACCCAGCCTTCATATCTGTTTCTAAGTCCCATTTTCCTAGTCTTGGGATATTTGTTTCTCTTGTCTTTCTAGCCAAGGAGATGACCTTGTCTCAGTGTGAATCCTCCCAAACCAACTCGAATTCAGTTTATATCATCCACTTAATTTGTCTTGGCTGATTTGGACTGAGTGTGCTCAAATGCTCACCACAGTTAGGTTTTGTCAACTGCCCTGCCTTTGATTTTCCTGTTTTATGTTGGATGTTTTGTTGATGCTGTTATACCCTTAACAGGTTTTTCCTTTAAACTATCCTCTTATCACTATCCTCTGCCTCTAATTTGGAAAAGATGCTCTGACGGTGCATATAAACGTCTAATAACTCTGATCCAGCTAGCATTTGCAGACCCACATATGTTCTCAACTCCCAACTCTTAGTACTGTGCTTCCCTCTTCTGAAGACTGACTTCTACATTGTGATTGTTTGTGTCCTTTCCTTACTCAGCCTTTGATCACCATGTCCTTTAAAAGCAGGGCTAGGCTTTTCTGAGTCTTTCTAAGGGCTCTGTTTGGCTTTTTCTCTCATGAAGGTAAGGACCAGCAGGCTACTCAGAATTAGGAAGGAAATTGATGCCATGTTGTCAGCTGCTCAGCAAAGTCCTGGCACCCAGAATTATCTGCCTTTGGAGGGATTTTTGGTTCAGAGCATTGGTAAGGGAGAAGCAGGTTGCTCAGAACTGAGGCTCAGTATTGAAATGAAATCGAATCTGGCTGTAGGCCTGAAGATCCCAATGTTGTACTTATAAGTTCAAGTACTTAACATTCTTATAGTTCTTTGTGTTCTGAGGAAACACTTCACACTTTGCACAGAAAAGTAACATTCATCAAATGTCCATGCACATGCCACGCTCCACCTGTGTCAAAATTCTGATAACACCCACAATATCAACTGATTGTTTTATGATTAGAGAAACCAAGGCTTAGGAAATAAAGGAGCTGGTCCCCAAACACACTGCTAGAAATTAATAAAGTTTTAGAAGCAAAAAAAAATTCAATTATAAGTACCTACACCATTTACCCAGTTCACAGCAAAGCATTAGGTAAATGTTACTGAATTTTAGCCATAGAATTTAAAGCCCATAGTGTTTAAATACTCTGTTAAGTCACACGACTGTACATGATAAAATAACATCTAATAATTAGTCTAACTTACAAGTCCTTACCATAATGTGTCAGGTTTTCACCTTTAAATACTTCTAAAGCCTAAATATCACTCACTCAGTTACCAAATATTCTTTCACCAGAACCTCAATCTATGGGAAATAAAAACTAATGTCTCTTGCTCCACACCTTCATCCATGTAACTTCCAGCTGAGAGCACACCTCAGCTCCTTCTAGCTTAGGGCAGAAATCTAAGAAAGCTTGTTAGTTTATTCATTTGAACAGGCTACAATTCTTCCTATGCCCAAGACAGCATGAAATATGAGATTTGCAGTTAGGAATATTAATTCAAATCCTGTTTTTAAATAAGATGCCCTTTGTGTTCTCAGAAAAAGTTGGCTGCTTTGAGTTTCACTTTCATGTCTGTGACTGAAGGCACACCTTCCTTAATGGGCAGCCATGCCAGTTTGAAATGACACAGGCAATGTCTCAGTGCTGGTGGTATCCAGCTAGTGTAGGGAAATGCAGTACAATGCTGTGATTCTTAGAGTGAGGATTGGAAATCTTTTGGCATCCTCAAGACCTTTTTTGGGATCTATGAGTTCAAAAGTGTTTTCTTCCTTTCTTTTTTCTTTTTTCTTTCTTTCTTTTCCTTTCTTTCTTTCTCTCTTTCTTTCTTTTCCTTTCTTTCTTTCTTTCTTTCTTTCTTTCTTTCTTTCTTTCTTTCTTTCTTTCTTTCTTTCTTTCTTTCTTTCT